AGCTTGCTTTTAAGGCAGCTCGCTGGTCACATGCCAAACTGCTGTCTCCACGCCCCATCTTTTTCCAAGGCCAGACAGTCAAGAGCTCAGCAAATGGTTTTCAATAATTAATTCTTTAACCCTAATTTTAGGATAAATACTAAAAGCAAGCTCTGCATACAAAACAGGTTCATAAGCTATTAAAACTCAGCCAGCACAACACAGCAGCATGCATTCACATCATTCCACATAACCTGGCCCACCACACCTGCTGTTGGAGAAAGTTCTCCTTCAAAGGGTAATTCAAATGTGCTTCTCTTTCCGTTAATTACATACAGAGAGCCTACTTTTAATCTCAGTCTGGGTTTTTTGCACAGCCTCCACAGAGTTGTGCAGCATGTGGAGGCATTATGCTGCCTACATTCACATCTTGCAGATGCACTGGTTGCATGTTTTTCTACAGAAGCACATCACAACCCACACTGTGTTTTGTGTTAGGCTGATACCATGCTGCTGACAAAAACAAAATCAAAAACCAAAACCAAAAAAAAAAAAAAAAAAAAAAAACAAAAAAAAAAAAAAAAAAAAAGGAAAGAAGAAAAAGAAAGAAAGAAAAAGAGAGTGTCACAGACTTTGCAAATGTGCACTACTAGTGTAAAGATCCTTGGCTTTCTTTAAAGCCTGCCAGAAGCAACTGTTTGGCTTTGTTTTTCAACAAAATGCTGAATGAGGGAGGAAGTTCAGATTTGACCGCTGAAGATCGCGATGTACAGTTGTGCACCCACAGCATAGGAATGAGTCTTGCATTGAAATGAATGCAGTCAAAGTTCTCCTTGTGTTTCATTTCTCTAATTATTTTCCTAGTTGTTCATTCTCTGAGGTAAATACTCCTTAATGTATGCTTAGTGCAGTGATCTCACATGAGCTGCTCCTACTTGTGCTAATTCCTCCCCACCCCCCAGCTAAGACCTTGTTAAGGAAATTAAACAAAGCAAGTATGCTGGCTGGTATCATGATAATAAGGATTTTGAAGGCAGGGGGGAAAAAAAGAATCTGTGAAAAACTGATTGCATGGTCAGAGTTCAGAGAAAGGAAAAAATTTGGAGTCTGAAGCTCAGGAGATGAAGCAACTCTTAGAGAGCTGAAGGAAGATTTGTGATGTACAGGACTGGTGGCTGCAGTCCCTTGGTGTGCTCAGTGCAGCACAGAGAAGCTGAGGGGAGCCCTCATGGTGGCTGCAGCTCCTCACAGGGAGGGGTGATCCTTGTGGGTCCCTTCCAACTTGGGCTATTCTGTATGCAGCTACCTTAGCTCCTTCGCTGCAGCCTGACACCTGGTTATCATTGCACTAGGTGAGACCAGGCCTTCAGCATGGGCAACCAAATCCCATGGAGGACAGGAGAGGAGGGACAAGGCCACAGTGGAAGCGAAATGGTGAAATGTAGTAACAGAAACAGAAACAAAATGAAAACAAGATCAACAACAACAAAAAAGACAACACCCAGTGTTTACTTTCTCTGCACAATCAGATGCAATAGATGATGGGAGGCATGAGGAAGCAGATGTGTGAGGGTCAGCTGGTGGAGGCTGCAAGTAGAGAGGCCAGGGTAGCGCAGCAGAAAGGTGAAAACAAGCCCTGGTTGTGCTCATCCATGTTCCAATTCAGATTTCCATTGGGAAAGGGAAGAAGTAAGACCATGTCCAAAGATGATCTCCAAGACTTTCCCCATTCGTCCCTAGCCCCCTTGGCCTGTGGCAGGCCTGTTCCAGGGGCACCTCCAAGATAACTGCAGCCATCTTCTGAGCAGCCTGGTCCTGAGCTTTTGTTTTTCAGATGCAAAGAACACTGCAGGTGCAAAGGGCACAAACTTCCTTGACTCTTGGGCAAGCTGATGGATGTGGGTGCTTTGGGAATAAATGCAAGCCTAGTAGGAGCCAACATTTTTCATCTCATATCCCACAGCATGATAGTTCGTTGCCACTGTGCAAGAGGTTGGTAGATATGCATTTATTAGTCCAGCATCATCTCTAGTTATTGGAAATACAGATGTTTTCGCAACAGTTTTACTACATTTTTCTTAAAGGAAAAGAAAACCAAAAAAGAAAGACCTGTACCATCCAGGATATACACAAGCCTGCCAAACAAATGGGATTCCTTTTGGTTAGAATTACAAATCCCTCCAGAGAGGGAAGCCTAGCAAATCAGCTGAAAAAAAAAAAAAAAGAGAGAGAGACTGAAAGTGATCAGCAGATTCTGCTTATTCTTCTTCAGGGCAGTAGGTGTACACTTCACTAACTTGCAGAAATCACTGTCATAGTATATCCAAATATCCCAGAATGATGATCACTAAAACTTCCTTCCACCCAGCACAGGAGAAAAGGCTCCAAAGGGTGATTTAAGACCAAGAGACCAATTTTAGGTTGCTCTGAACTAGCCTGTAGAAGCCAAGAACTCTGTCCTTTAGAAAAGCTGCATCATGAGAGGATCTTGTGAGAGTGAGTGACAATTTTCCCATATCACAGTGCACCTTAAGCCAATCACTATGAGAGCTTGCCTTTCTTCTTTGTTGAGTAGTGGATGAAGGGATGTTACCTCTTTTGAAATCTATGCTACTGACCACACTGAATTTCAGAATGTGAGTTGTAAGCCAAGAAATTCATTATTTCCTTCCATCCTACTCCACCAACATAAAGTGAGAGATAACAATGCATCACAGACTCTCTGAGTAAATATGCCTCATATCTTTAGATCATATCTATCTAACACGTTACTTGGGAAGCTCAGGGGAAGAAAGATTCCACCAGGGAAACACTTCTTAAAAAAGATTAGAAGTCTTCATTTTTGCAGCTCTTGAGATCTTTAAACAACCTGGCTTAAGATTTTTAGCACCATAGAACATCAAAAAAAGTTAGTCCTTTGAGCTGCAGACATTCTGTGTCATCCACAGAGGAGAAACAGAAATTGATGGTGACAGGCAGGGATTCAGCATTTCCCTTTGAGAATGCTAAAGGACTTATATTCAGTTCTAGATCCTGATTTAGAAAAGCTTTTACATCTAATGTTAACACCAATTATCTGAAGGTCTGCTTTATTTGTAAAGCTTACTATAATTTGTATTGCAGGCCAGTGGACAGAGAGCTTTACGTCTATCCAGCAGATTCTGAGTGCCACACTGCTAAAATGCCAAAAGAGAGATTTTGGTGGGATTGTTGCTCATGCAAAAGGAAGTATGAGGTCATGCAATCCAAGGTCAATGCTGTATGGTTTGTGACTACAAAACTGCTTTCTTCTGCTAGACTGAAAGATAATTAAGCGTTTACTATTTGGAGAGGATCTTTTTCCAGTTTAAGTAAATTTTGTAGCTGGATTTCCTGGTGTGCACACTATTGACATCTTTCTCAATTATGAAGCAAGTGAAAATCTGCCTTTCCAGTGATGTGAAGAACTTCATAATAGTGTCATCATAACAATTATTCTCCCTCATATGAATGACTTGAGATGCCATTGTGCAGCTCTTGTGGAAATGGACTTCACAGATTGAAAGGAGTGAAAGCTGCAACAGCTTGTACAAAAGTACAAATCTGCAAAGTGATAATCAATATCACTAAGCTTTTTCCTTGTGCCTCCTATTTTATGATGTTGGTCCATGATGTCAGAGCAGATGTGGGTGGTATGGCAGTATAGGTAGAACCTTCTCACCAATATCCCATGTGACAGATGGCAGTGCAGGGGCAGTCTGAGTGAATGCCGTCTGACATGGAAGTGCAGATGAAGCAAAGGTTTGGAATTTAATTCCTCCATGTGGAAAAATGGCACCCATTGACATTTATCAATGCTTGGTGAACACTTGTGGAGACCAAACAGTGAGTGTGAGCACAGTGGGGTGGTGGGAGGTGTGTTTCAGCAGTGGCAACAGTGACACTGGGTCACCTCCGCTGGAGCAGATTTTTATGAGCACAGCATGCAGGCTTTTATTCATTGCTGGCAAAAATGCATAGCTAACAGGGATGAGTAACCCCTATTAAAAAAAAAAAAAACAAAAAAAAAAACACTGAAAAACAGTGTTTTGTAACTGAGAATTTGCTTTATCAAATAGTGTTACTGTACTCTTTGTATCTGTTTCCATGGAAATAAATAGGAGGCATTGCTTTTGGAGCAACTTATATTATTCAGGTCTTCTATGAACAGGTAGGAAGTTTGCTTAAGCTTGTTTTCTTGAGCTTTTTGAAGATTTTTCAGCACCACCTGACTCTCAGTTTTATTCCTGACCTTTCAAGCACACAATTCCATGTTTATATATTATACAAAAATTAATCCATCATCAGAAAGGCAAGAAGGCAAGTGAGATTGAGGCCAGCCCTATTTCTGTGGAGTGGAGACATTTGTGTGCTCCGCTTATTTTAGCAGAAGATAGTGGGTAAATCTGAGCCAGCACGTTTTTCATTCAATCTGTCCCTGGACACTAACAGATGGTGCTTTCCTGTGCCAAGTACTAATGCACTTTACATTGGCATTCAGTGTCAGGACACAAAGCCCGCCAAGTCCCTGCCAAATCTGCTGATGCCAGGGAAATTGATAATAAACAACTAGCCAGGGACACAGTCCCAATTTTTTCCCTACATCCTAAGCAGCACACAAGCTGTACCAGTGTAACGATGTCAGCTGTTCTTCAGCTTGTGGATGTCAGTGCAGCAAATGAGGATCCTGGACTAGGGAAGAAAGGAGTCCTGCGGTTATGAATAGGCATGTATCTGAAGACAGGAAGAGATCCATTTGCTTCAAAGGGACTAGCTATGCCATTGACAATGGGCCCTAAGAATCCTGATGAACTTGTGCTATGATGCACAGACATCTGAGCTACTAAAGTACACATGCATACATCTACCATCCAGTAGTGTGGTTCTACTGCTTAGCACGTTAGACTGAGCACTGAAAATACTAAAGTCAGTCCTTCATGTCTAATTTCAATCCTACATACAATAAGGCAACTTTCAAAATAAAATAAAATAAAATCCATAGATTTCTCTGAGGAGTTCACTTTGTTTCACAGTTGTTGCATTTATTCTTTGAATACAAGCATCCAAAATTCTTTAGCTGTAAAATTCCTGTTCCTTTCCACCAGCTTCCTCAGCGCCCAGGCTTCCTTCTTGGACTGCTCAAAACTTGCTATCCACATCTCTTGGAGGGAGGTCTGGCTGGGATTTGAAGAGGAGAACCTGAAAGCCTCAGGTTTGGGGCAGTTCAGATGTTTAACCTGAGCACTCCACCTCTGGGGCAGCCATCCCTGGCAACGCAGAGAAATAAAAGGAATGGGTTATTCAAGGACCCCGGCAGACAGAGAAGACTAACTACCATTAGTAAATTATTAAAGCATGTCAGTGACATTCACCCTTCCACCACAGGCCCTAGCCATGCCCCTGCAGATGGCTGAGTGGAAACTCTCCCTGAGGTGCCCAGAATAAGGGCAATTAGGCTGACAAGAGCCAGACTCTCAAATCAAATCTGGTTACAAACAAGCAGCATCAGCTAAGCGAACTTGAAAGACAAGGAGCTCTACTTTCGTCATTGTAATCAATTTTCATCTTAATACGCACACATTTCATAAGATTTTTTTTGAAAGAGAATTAAAAACAAGCTATAAATTTGATCAGGAGAGCAGACTGGTCTTCATAGTCTGCTTCACTGAAGAGCCACCAAAGTAGGGGAAAGAAATCTTTGCATTTCATCCATTTTATATCTTTCCATATTCGTATTTCATGCTTAAAGAGTAGACATCCGCATAAATTTAACTAGATTAGCTAGGAAAGTCTTGTTAAATGTAATGCTTGCTGGTTCGCACTTCACATTTCAGTTCACCCAAATAATTTCACATGCCTTCTTCATCTCTCCTCTTCTAGCTGACTAGTTACCATACAGCTCAGATTGTCACCACCACATATTTGGCCTAATGAGTATAGGAGAGCTGTAGGGCACTACAGATGTTCACTGGCTGCATTACTGGGCACTGAAAGTTTTTTTCATCTATTCTGATAACTGTGCTCATTAACAGCTTTAAAAAATGATGAAAACATACCTTTTCTTCTCTTCTGATGTTTTCCCACACTCTGTTACACACCATGCACTCAAATGTGTCAATGTAATTGTCCTGAGTGATATCTTGCACTCCCCATTTGCGTTCCTTCATTGCTGTAAGCAGCCTTGGATTGGAAATTTCTCCTTTCAGTTTCCATTCCAGGTAGGCCTCATACTCCTGGTCATTTTGATCCAGTGTTTTGATATAGTGGGCCAGCTCTCGAGGGTGTGAAAAACTAGATACCAATATTGCACTCTTGTTGCTGGGAAGCCAGTCTTTAATGCTGGGAGAACCAAAGTACACAGGTACCACTCCCAGCATCAGAGGCCGCCAGAGTTTTTCAGTGATATAATCTTCACAGATAGCATTTTCAAAAGCAAGAATGAACTTGTACTGAGCCAGTATTTTATAGAAGTTCCCATCATCCATGGCAGACGGATTTCTGAGATACTGAGGGAGGTCTCTGTTATGCAGACATTCTCCATAAGAGTCTACTTCAATGTGGCACATCAACTCACGTACATAGCTGTCCCGGTCAGAAGGAGCATTGCAGTCAGTCTGCACATACACAAGTGGTGCAAGCCGCTTCCTCAGGCTGTTCTTCATCTGCACTGGGATCATATGTCTCAGGGACGCGAGGACCTCTATGCTCTCAAGGTACTGAGTGGTCAGCGGTAGGTGAGAATGACGGCTGAAAGTTGCAGTGTGGTTAAATAAGGTGATAGCTGGTTCATGGAAAAGTTTGTAGTTGTTTTTTGGTGACTCCTCGTGGAAAAGGGCCCAATCATGATGGCCTTTTCGAGGAAGGGGTAGGCTGTCTATACTGAAATCAGTACCTAGACAAAAGCAAATGGTGTTTAGTCTGGCCTTCATCATGTCACACTGAAGGACAGTACATAGGAACCCAGTTTTCATTTAATATCAGCCCTACAACACTGTGTTTATGAGATTATAAGGCAGCACCACCAAAAGAGTGTTTAATTCAATGACAGAGGAGTGTTATGACAGAGAGAAGTAAATTTGGCAGCAGCAGAATCTAGAGACTAGGGATTGGTAGTTAACATTAGAAGTGGTTTATTTTCAGATCATATTAGTTTAAAAGCCTCTCATTTCAAAGCCACGCTAAATTTCATATTTTACTGCACAGAAGGGAGACTAATAATATGCTTAATAATTCTCTGTCTATGTAAATAGGAGAAGCCTCTATATCTAAGATGAAAGGAAAATGGCCACTACAGGGATGAATTTGGTTCTAGTACCAAAATAACAAAAAAGATGCTAAAACATTGGACACAGTTATGCACAAGGATTGGACGAATAACCTGACATGCTGGAAAGATACTGTATTATACATTTTGGAAGACAATCGACTTGGTTTATCAAAGAGAGAACCAACAGATGATATTTCACAGCTGACTACCAGATACATGAGGGAATAACCTCTGGCAGAAGACTAAATCTGATGTCAGAATTAGAGGAAGAATCAAGCCTAAACTCAAAAAGCAGACCACTACAGCTGCTTGCACCTTAATGGAAGGACAGTGAACCTCCCAAACAACTCAGGGTGAAAGCTTCAAGTCAAACCTAGAAGCATTTTCTCATGAAAATGTTTTCTCATGAAAATTTTTTCTCATGAAAAACATTTTCTCAGACCAGCCTTCACTGGTCTATGCAAAACTGAATTCAAAATATCAAATCATGAATCTCAACCTTTCTCTCCCTTCAGTTGCGTTTCCATACAGCTAGCCTTATTTTAAGTTAAGTGCAAAGCTGATGAATCTCTGCCAAGACAGTTCCTCAGAATCTTAACATTATATCTGGTTTTGACTGAACTACCAGCACTGGACATCCAAAAGTTTTAATCTGTACTGCCAAGCAAGGCAGTGTAAACCAAAACAAAGAGAACCGCTGATTTTGAGGACAAAACAAATCCCCTTTCTTCATAGGTGACACTCTACTATCCCTAACACACTCATGAGCTTTTCTTCTCTGCTCTACACTTGATCTCAAACTACTGATGATAATAAATAAATAAATAGTTAAAAAAATCTAACCTAAACCTTTCATCTAAAATCTAATACATAAAGAAGGAAAAAAATGTCCAAGGATCTCTATGACTGTGCAAACCTGCTAAGATGACTCCAAGAGTGACCTTATAAAATCAACAGAAGACCACACTAAAGTAGTGACGATGGATAATGGGTGCCAAGATAAAAACCTCCTATAGTGCAAGACTTTTCAAAGAGCATCAGTTTTTCCTTTGTTTTGGAGTTGGTTTTTTTAAGGCCACCAATTATGTGACTTTGTTTTCCATTGAAGGCTGGTCTCAAGCTCCAGACACTAAATAGGTGAAGTGCTATGCCACATATCAAAGAAAGAGATATTCATTTCCTTTTTTTTTTTATATGTGGTAATGGTGAAATAAGGAAGAAAAATTAGAATTAATCAAATTCTTGCAGAATTATTCATACAGCCTATCTGGTCTTGGAAACACATTGTTCTGTGAAGCCCAGAAGAGAAGCAACAGTGCATAATGAAATGTACAGTTATTTCTCTTGCAAAGGTGAGGGAGAATGAAAATTCACTGCAAAGGGGAGGGAAGAAAAGAATGACACCAGAAAAGGGATGACTCTGATAAAAGGATATCGTGTAAAAAACTTAGTAAACAAAAATAAAATTTGCCAAACAGAAACCAAAAGAAAAATGCTTAGTAAATAAAATCACACCAAAATTACTGATTCTAGTATAACATTTAGCCAATCTCACTTCAGAAAGCAGACAAAAAGTTTTTGAGCATTAAAGAGAAGATAACATCATTATGTTACCCACCTTGTGAAATAAAGGAAATGAATGAGCCTATGAGAGGATAAAGAAAGCACAGCAAGATTGTAATGACAACCAATTTCAACTTCTAAACTAGTAGGAAATCTTAGATTTAGTGATAAAGTGCAGGAAAAAAAATTAAAGATACTCTCAGGAGGAGTTCTACATCTTTGGAGACATATTTCACTCACAATTCACATCCCAAAGACCCACCTCTCCAGCACAGAAAATCTGGGCATGTCCTTCTACTGCTGATGCAATTTTTCTCAGGAGGAACAGCACTGGTACAAGCAAAACTCTGTGAGCATGCTATGTTGAAAAAGTAGGGTCTGGAATCCCTCCCCAGAATACAGACATAACCCAGCAAGTGATTGTCACATCTCAGATTCCAGAAGAGAGACTTGACAAAGTCATTCTCCACACCCACAGGTTTCCCAGGCCAGGACAGTAAGTAGAGATAAGCTGCAGAAAAGCAGCTGTTACTAGCAGTGCAGTTCTGGTGAGAAACATCTGCACCCCATTTGGCATAATATTCTTTTCATTCTGTCAAACATTCATTTTTTGACAAGTTCACTGACCAAATGTTAGGAGGGAATGAATGAACTTCTTTGGAATGTAAAGCTGTGCCCTAATCTAATCTTAGCATGGGTATGCAGATGTTCAAGGTTTCTTTCACTCAGTAGGCTGTTCAGTTACAAATTCTGGAATGTCAAAATCTCCCTTTTTGCAGGCCCACAGCTAACTGCATCTAAGGAATGAGGGGTGGTATGCTTTTCTGCATTGACACAGCATTATTTAACACTTTCGACCCCTTGTCTTTGCAGATTTTGGCACATTGAGAGTGTTTACTGTAGTCTAAAATCGAGTATCACTTCTGCATATGTTGACACTTTCATATGCAGTTCAAAGAGAGCATCACTAGAAAAACTACAAGAAAGGTCTTTAGTCCAGTAAAAATAATCTTTTAAAAATCAGCAAGTAAATCGTGTCCTGTTACAATAAATCATCACCAGCTGTAAGTAAACAGTAATTGTTATTTTAATGCTGAAGCAGGCAAACAAAATCGCTGGCAGAGACCAGAAATACCAGACTTCACAACTTCCATGTGATGCAGACCTAGCTTTCCGTGTATTTAATTGGGTCAGCTTCTCATTCCCTTGCTGTTATTCATTTGCTTTCATGCCTGACCACTATATTATCAGCAGACAATGCTGACCTACTTCAAGCTCTGAAAAGATCACTGATGAGAAGTTTCTGGGTTTACTGTTAACTATTCCACAAAAGGCCCCCCTTTCCCTCTATTTCCAGCTCGCCTGTGTCCTGAACTAGTGAATGAAGATTCAGCACTTTTTTATTTTGTTTTGTTTCCAGACAAAAGAGCTGAATCTACCAATCACAGAAAATTATTTGTCGTTAGTTTTCCACTTATAATAATAACCCTAAGGTTATTATATGTCTCTGCAATGCTATGAGGAAAAATAACAAAATAAAGACTACTTTTAAAAGATGCCTCTTCTGTGTTTTGTTGTTTCAGTGCAAGTAGTGGGAAGTTTCTGAGGCAGCAGAGCCAGAAGAGCTCAGCAGGCTGCCCTAGCTGCCATTCCCTGTGTGGAATCAATACGTTTCTTTCAGTACTTTCCTTTTACATTCTGCTGGCAACCTCTTGGCACATGAGGCAAGGCAGTTGCACAGTTACCAGCGAGAGCATTATCTTAAGACAAAAGACTTGCACAAGTGCAACAAAGGCCTTGCAGAACTTCTGCTGGAGGTGATAAGCTAGAAGACCGGAAAAAAACAGCCTGATCTCAGACTCCTTTCATGACTTGGCAACTACAGAAAATGATCTTTTCTGCCATAAGCAAGGAAAACGTGTGAAAGTAGCACGAGACAAGGGAACATCCCTTGGTCATCCTGTGGATCATCAATTTTATAAGTACTTTTGCAAAGGTCTCTGGCCCTCTGATAATGGATTCAGCACCAGGCAAAATTCAACAAAGTGAGCTGTGTAAACTTTCTTCTCCTCAATGATTTCCACCTAGAATATTTAATGTCTAAGAGAAAATGACAGGAGGGAAAGTTTCTCCCTTAGAAAGAAACAGCTCCTTACCATAGAACAAAAAAGCTCTCGTCAGCTGACTGTGCTGGTAGGTCTTGTTAACAGTAAAGAAACAAACATCCTCACCACACTGCCCCAGTCTCCCTGTCTCTCCAGTCAGAGGAGACCACCAGAGCAGGATGGGGTAGTGATCTGTATCAGGCTCCATCCTGAAGTTGCTGTAAAGTTCCTTCTTCTTAAGCTGGGAAGCATGTCTCTCATCAGGCTTCAGGGGGCCACTGTGTAAGACTGCTGCTGCCTTACTCTCTGAATTGCCCAGTTCAGTGATAACCTTCAGGGGAAAAAAACAAACGTATCACAGTGCATCACTGCTGTTAGCCAGAACATTCGCCTGACACATTCGAGTTTATGTATCAAGTAGTGAGTAAGCCTCTGTAAAATTTCTATCAGCTGAAGAAGTGAATGCACTTCACTGAAGCACTGTCCAGGTGATTTACTTCAGAACAGAGAGAGCTTCAAGAGCTCCCCTTCAAGGTAAGGAAGGGGAAGTAAATAAATTTATGTACTGAGATATGGCCATGTCACACACGATTGAACAACATGAATTCTGCTTTTTTTCTCAAAATAAGCCATACAGTAGCTAAGTTTCTTCTAGAAATCATCTGCAAAATTAGGTCTTCATGTGCTCATGCTTCTTTATTTTTAAACCAGTGACTGAATATATCAGATGCAGATGAGTCTTAAAGAAAACTTAACTACAGTTTCATGGCCAGGAAGAAGAAAAAAATTCTGTAGGCAGAGATGTAAAACACTTTCCGGTAAACCATCATTTATAGATCAAAAAACCTATGAGGAGCTTTAAAAACAGTCCACTCACAGGAGAAGCCTCCGACAGTGTCTGCCATCAGCCATGGGAGAGAAGTATCAGGCTTCAGCAGTTCTGGTATTTGTGAAAACACCACTCTTTTCTACAGGTAGTACCCACGGAACAAGTGTCCTGAGGTGATCCCACAGGGTACACAGAAGCTGCTGTTAGTCTCTGCAAGGCAGTGACCTTCCTGCTACCATATGGATGGCTTTTTGCATGTGCATCTTCACGGGCAGTGCTTAATGCCACCCCAGGAACAGCTGCAAGAATGATGGAACTCAGACCCACCAGACAGCTTTGGCTCACAGCACTTCCACTTTTTGGATGGCTCTGAAGGAGGATATTGGGAGGAAGGAGAGTATTGTTTATATTAAGTTGTTTGAAAACATTTGTCTTCCCCGATAGTGTTACTGCATGCATTCATTTTACTGTTTGTTGTCATTCACTCTTACTGTCTAGTAAAATACACTGATTGTAACTGGACTAAATAGACTCTGTGCAACACAGGATGCTGAGACAACACACACAGTCAACTGTGCACAGTGCAGCTGCACAGAGAACACAGAAAACACTCCCACATTGGCAAGTAGACAGGATGCTGGCTGGGGATAAGGCTTATTTGTCTAGGAATTTGGTAAGATGTAAGTGCAGTAATACAACTCAAATAATCCTGTAAGTACGTACACATCACTGCTTCATGTGCACTTCCTTGTTAGACGCCATTGTGTCAGAATGCCCCTCTGCTGCCATCTGTTGCACGGCAGCAAAATGTAATGGGATATTGGTGGGAACGTTCAGTCCCTGCTGCTGTACCACCAACATCTGCCACTGACATCATGGGACAACATCATAAAATAGGAGGCATTTGCAAGAGCAGCCCTTGCAATATGCCTCCTCATTCATTTTTTTATTGACCATCTACTGAATTCCCAGTGTTAAGAATGGCCAGTGCTAAGTCAGGCCTGCTGGCCTGCTTACTGATTGCTCAGATCACTGGTTACAGAGCTCACAAAATCCTGGTCAGCCTGCCATATCAGCCTGAGATAGGTCCAGCTATATCCCTCTGTCTCACCAATTAAACACACTGCTTGAGAAGACTGAGAAGGCAGTGCTGGACAGAGGCAATGCACCATGGTGATGCGTGGTACAACACTTCTGAGGAGCTCCAAGAGCCAAAGAGTTCCCTACGTAATGTCAATTCTGGGGCCAGCTGGCATCACCAGGTCAATCCTGCTGATAGAGTGTCTTCAAACATTCCTCTCTCACAACACTTTTGTTGCTTTTAATGATCCCTCGCATCTTCCAGAACTGTGTCACATTTTGAATATGCCCACATATATACTCCCCCCTGCCCTTGCCCCTATACCTGGAGCATCACCACAAGGAAAAAGAAAGCTGCAAAACAGATGCAAGATGCCCACAGCCTCTTCCTCCTCATCCTGACCATGTTGCACTGTCGGGCCCACAGGATGCCAAGGGCAGTCAGAGTGAGGTGTTAGCAGGACCAGTGTGTCTGAAGCCTTCAGCCTTTGCTGCACTGATGTCCCATGCCATCTTTATTCTGCTTCACAGGAGCTACTGGTGAAAAAGAGTACAGCATCAATCATGAGTGCTCCTCGAGTTTGGTGACCAACCTGCTGTCTACCTGCAGCTTTCTGCAGGAATCCAAACACTGTTCTGAGCCTGGTTAACCCTTAGTTAAATCAGAAAACAGTCTGCACAAACAGCACTCACACACTGCACTCTGCCTCTGCTCAGACTGGACTTGGCCTCCTCTCAGAGCAGCCTCACATGTTCCCTCACCATGCAGGCAGCACAGAGAGCCGCTGTTGGTTCTACCCTCTGTGAACATGCTTTACTGAGCTTCAGGTGGCAAACTGTGCTGTTTTTCAACAGGCGAGCCACATAAGATCTCCCACCCCTTGACAAGCCTAGGAAATTCTGCTGGAAGAGGCATACAACTTCTGGCTTTGCAACTCACTATAACATTCTTCTGGGTCTTCTGTATCCCAGCATATCACACCAAGTGCACAGAGAAAATAACTACACAGCATGTAAACTATCTCCAAATCCAGACACGTCAATGTATAACAAATTCCCCTTCCCCCGCAATCTACATCTGTGCTAGGTTGCCTATCCTCAAATGACTCTTCCCCTTCAGTGACACTCTTCATTCATTTTTCACAGATCATTTCGCCATATGTTGGATGTTACTGAGCGAAATTCCTTGCTCCTGACAACTGGAAGAAGTACAAATTCCAATTACAGATTAAAACAAAACAAAACAAAACATAAAAAAACCCACAGGAGAAAGTCAAGACTTTTCTCTCAAAGTATAGGATTCTATTTTGAAATTTGGATATTCTGAATACTCAGAAAGCAGAACAACAATCTATTTTAAAAAAGTAAACTGTTATACTTCTCTTTCAGTGATGTGCATTCTGGAATTTAGCCCTGGCATTTCTTCTGAAGAAGACATATGTGACTGCGTTCCCTCCACATGTGTGTGCCTACCAGCTTCCCCTGCATGCCAACCCCACTGTCAAAACTCCAGAATAGAGATAGGTCCCACAGCTCCTCACCGCCTCCCACCCCTGTGAGGCTGGCATGTAGAAACAGAAGCTGGTCCTGATTCTGCTTCCACTGTAACAGGAGTTTGTCTCTTCCCATCAACCTACAGAGGAGCGTTTTCTGTAAAGCCTCATGTGAATACATGCTGGGGAACTTCAGCTCTGCATGGGACCACTGCTTTCAAAGGTTCTGTGAGGGCACTAAAGAGCACCACTGTCAGGTCAGTGCTTTTGAAATCAGGTGGGATTTTCTGGGCCCTGTTCTTTCGGTGCTTCCTGTGCTACTGCCTAATTGAGGCAAAAGGAGGGAGGGGAAGGAGCTGCACTCCAGCCGCAGTGGTGGTGGTGAAGATCTGCTCGGCCACGCACCTGGAGCACTCCAGCGTCAACAGCAGCGTTCACCTCCCCCTCCGCACTGGAACAGGGCTCTGACGATTTACCGAGAGCCCACGTCTCCCCGCGCCCAGTTACAAATGTAGGGATCTTCTTGATTCTAGGAAGGGGAAATACTGATAGCCCAGATTAAGGCAGAGGGGGCTTGGTTCTTGTACCTGCTCACGCCCTGCCCCGGCCGCAGTGGCACAGACCTCGCAGAACTCCCGCACCTCGAACCATCCCGATGACTTCAGGGCAGCGCTGGAAACCTCGTCACACCTCCCGACGTCCTGTGCAGAAGGGCAGCCCCCGGCACGCCCTCCCGAACTTTCCACCGCACCCTCTCAACCTTCCCACCGCGCCTCCTGCCGCCCCTCCTGACAGCCCCTGGGCTCGACACCGCAGCGCTCCCTCCCCTCCCGTTCCGTCCCGTCGCGTCCCGCATCACCCGCGTCGCGTCCCGCTGCAGCCCCGGCCTCCCCGCGCCCTCGGCTCCAGCATCCTCCGCCCGGACGGCCCACAGTTGTACTCACCCGCCTGGTACCCCCGTCGCTGTGCTGTTGGGTTGGGGGCTGTTTTGTTGCGGATCTTTGCTGGAGTTTGCTTTGGTTTGCGAGGTTGTTTCTTTTTTAAAAAAATTTACTTTCAGTTTGAGCCTCTGCTCGGGGCGCGCTGGGAAGCGGAGGCGGTTGCTGGAGAGCGCTGCGCGGGGCCCGCGGAGGGCGGTGCGGATCCGTGCCTTCCCCGCCCTCCGCCTTCCTTCTCCCCATCAGTGAGCACCTCCTCCCCGCCCCCCAGAAGGAATTTGGCTTTTCTCGGAGTCCCGTAGGCTCCAAAAGGACCCTGCGCGCCTCTGCTCCGCGCCCGTCCTGTGCGCTCCTCACACCGTCCTGTGCTGCAGACATACCCCTCCGCGATGGAAAAAGGAAGGAAAATCTGCTCCTGCTGGTTTCCATAGCTGCTTCCAAGCACACCTGCGCTTTTTGTGGCTGGGTTCTTCTTTGTTGTTTTGTTTTTTATATATATGTATATAAAACAAATATATACATATATTTGTTTTTACAAGACTGCCGTTATTTTTGCAGAAGCTCTCTTCAAGAGGACTTGGCTCCCACTGCACCAAGCCAGAGTGCTATCGGAAAAACAAACGCATCGTGGAAGTTAGGAAACCTTTAAGTGCCTGCTGGCCAGACCAGTCACACAGAGAGAGAACAGCACGGTCTCTGTACCTCGGGGTCAATGCTGAGGCACACTTTCTGAGTTGCACAAACACAGCTGCACCTGTGACAAGCTTGTGCTGCCATCCATCCAGGGCATCCCTCATGCTGTGCATGGCCACCAGCACCCAACCGGCTGCTTGCCTGCTGCCTACCTTAATCGAGCCTCTCTCTCTATTTAAGTTTTTGGCATTTGATATTTAAAGTAAGAGGTACCTGCTCAAAAACGCTGGTTGTCTAGGCTCAGGACAGAGCCCATGTGTATGTATCCTATGCATACCTGCAACCATACATGTGTGTATAATGTGGATCTACCTGACCTGTTTGTTGTCATACGCAAACATATTTGATGCTTCAAGCACTGAAGGAGAAAGTGTACAAGGATGTGAACACAACAGCGTAAGAGGCTGGCGGTCCTCAGCACAAGATCTGGAGCTGTTGGAGCAGGCCCCGAGGAGGCCATGAAGATGCTGAGATGGCTTTAGCATCTCTCCTATGAAAAATGGCTGATGGAGCTGGCCTGGTTCAGCCTGGAGAAGAGAAGGCTGTGGGGAGACCTCACTGAGGCCTGTCAGTACCTAAAGAGAGCTTATAAGCTGGAAGGAGAGAAACATTCTACATGGTCTGATAGTGATAGGACAAGAAGGAATGGCTTTAAACTAAATGAGGGGAGATTTGTTAGGCATCAGGAAGAATATTTTACTCAGAGGGAGATGAGGTATTGCTGGCATGGGCTGCCCAGAGAAGTTGTGTGTTCCCCATTCCCGGAAGTGCTCAGGGTCAGGTTGGATGGGTCCCTTCACAGCCTCATCTGGTGGGTGGCGGTGCTGCTCATGGCAGGGGGTTGGGACTGGGTGGGCTTTAAGGGCACTGACAACCCAAGCCATTCCATTCTTCTATGATTCATTCACTCCTCCTTTCCCCCGGGAGTAAAATCAGAGGGCCTGATGACATCTGGGCAAGGAGAGGTAGCACAGCCCAGGCATGAAGGGCCAGGGAGCTGCAGGAGGGAGATTACTAGGAGAGCAGAGGGTGGAAAGATCCTAGAGGAGGCAGAGGGAAAGCCTGGCATACCACAATTGAAATGCATGTGGGATATAACTTACTTATGCTAATACCAAGCACACAATACATCTCCTTACTCAATGGAGAAGTTGTGTCTGTCATGTTCCAGAAAGGTTGACGAGGTACCCAGATGACAAACAGCAGCCCACCCAGCTGAGCTGTGCAAGTGATGTTGGCCATGTAGATCTTGCCTCTTTTCCCTTCCCACCCTCATCCCATCACTGAGCTTGAAAGAGCACTTTGGAGCAGGGCCCACTTCTTGCATGCACTGCAGCACACAGTTCTGACTTCCTTTAGGGCTATCAGGCTCCTCCTAAGACAAAAAATAACAGGTCACTGCAATGCCATCAGTCCATAAACTAAACTGAGCTGCTGGGGCTGGATCAGAAGCCTGTTACAGTAAACAGAAGGGTTTGATTTGATCCCACAATAACTTGATCTGATCCATCATTTTAAAACACAGTTATACTGAAGGCTTTCACGCTCCCTCATCTTGCATACTCCTAAATTGCTCTCATTAAGGCACAACTTCTCCGTAATCCATTTCAGCCTCCAGGCAGGAGACTTGTTACTGCCTTCAGTTACTGCCCATCCTATCCTTAGAAGTGGTGCACAAACTCCAGCAGTCCACAACTCAGTCTGAAAGGACAGAAGATGGTCCAGAGGACAGTGAGGTGGTCATCACATGCTGCCAGCCCAGCACCTGAATCAGCAAAATCTCGCACCAGTTTCATCCCCTGGCTGGCAGCTGAGAAATTCACTCTTGGTTCTTGTCCTGACACGCCGCCTCGAGGCAACAAGCACCTCTTGCAAGATCTCTCTTGTAACCTACCTTAAACAAACCGAGAAGGCCAGGCCGGCGTAAACCACGGCAGGGGCAGGGGTAGGGGCAGGGATAGGGGCAGGGGCAGGGGTAG